TGTTGTGCCCGATAGCGCGCCGTTGGGATATCATAGCACAGCACCCCTCGGAACCCTGCACCCTTCCCCCAAGCCGAATCCCTGGTGTGAGCCTTTCCTTCCTATTTCATTGAGAGCTGAACTTGTCCAGAGTATAACCGGCATGAAGGTGGGGGAGTTGGGAGCGTTGATTTCCAGGTAGGAACCTTTTGATGTATTCAGCGCTTACATCTCTCATTCCCGCGCAGCGTTCCCATTCCGCATTCCCGTTTTTATTTTATTTTTCCTCTTGTCCCACTTTGGCATATCTGCTGCTCCCTGGGGGTTCCAATACTTTGACACAAAGGGATCAGAGCATATCCCTCAAAGTGTTCCCCAGGCAGACGTGCCATCGTGTCTTTTTACATCCCTCCTTTTTTATTTTAATTTTTTTTGGTTTCTGAATAACAAATGCAGGAGCTATATCGAAGATAATTACCTTTATTCGAGGGAAATATGTCTCATGGAAGGGGATACACTGAGCCCGCAGTCGCAGTCACGTGTATGCGATTCCATCTCGCCCACAGTGTTTGTTGATGGGCGCCTGGATCCTAAGTTGCCTCCAGGAAGGCTGAGGTTGTGGGAGTTCTGCTCCCTTCTCCATCGCGCTTGCGCTTGGTGTTAACTGGTAAGTTCCCCCACCGCAGCAGGGCTTGTAACTTATGCACGCTTATTGCGATCGCCAATCTCTGCAGGCGGTTATGTGGTTGTTGGGCGCGGTTCGTGCTCAGTGGACTGCATTCCCGATGCCGCACCCAAATGCACTGGCTCAAGAACGCTCCTCCCAACAGATTCTGTAGATCCCTCCACACTCGACACCCTGTCCAACCCCTCCCTGCTTTGGTGTCATCGACCCAATCCTTATCATCACCCAATCCCGATCTCGGAAATCCTTTCGGTACTCTGATAATGCGGCCTCCAACATTGATTTGAGTCGCACTGCTGTGCGCACAGATGCCAGTGTGTCGTCAGTTGTGGCTCGGTGTTCATATCTCTCTCCGCCTCCCGAGTCATTGCGCCCACCATTAATGCCGTCCATCGTTTAATTGTTGTTTAATGTTCTCATTTCACAGGACTAATCACGGGGCTGTGGTCAGACCCAACCCAGCTCATGCCGAGGTTTCCTCTGTCCGATCATATCCTGCTGCTCCTGTCCACTCCCTTTTACCGCTCCTACCATTCACGAGTTGCCACGCAACCTGACTACTCAATGAGTCTAGGTTTCTGCTTGGGTTTCTTGGCATGGATGCGCGGAACAGACCACACTAGCGGAGGTACGTACTGAACTTCCCTCACTGCAAGAGTGCTCACAATAGTCCAGGCCACACTTATAAAAAGCGCCTGCACCTTTACTTTCCCCCCTCTCTATCTCCTGGACTCGTGCCTCTCTCGGTGAGTGAGGCCACTTACTGCTTTGTCTCCAAACTCTTACTTGTGCATTGTCGCTGCTGTTTCTGCTGCTGCCGCTCTCTTGACTCCCGGAATCGTCCATGCCTGCTCAGTAGCTTGTTCACCGACTCTTCTCTCTCTTGACTTGCGCTGTACTTTGTACCTCTCTGTCTCCGTTTCCTTCATCTTTTTTGTCTCCATCTATTTTTCCGCTTTTCCTTTTTCCTTTCTGTATTCTGTTGTGCGTTCTACTCTGTATATGAACAAACGGGTCCACTTTGCCTAATATACACTGGGCCACTTGGCTGTCTCCCGCTACAACTTCAGTAACACTGATCACGGGTTAGCAGTCTGCCCCCAGCTGACCTCAGGTTTCCGCCCCTGTTTGCCACTGGCTGGGAAACCTGGCTGCGCCCAGTCGAGACCCCTTTGGCCTTCCACTCATCGATCACGGATTTCTCGTGATTTATCGCGCAACTTAGCCTGAACGGGTCAAAGCACGCTGCCTCAGTCGTATGCTGAATGTTCCGGCGCAGAGGCGCGAAGCGGACCATTCAGTGGAGGTACGTACTGAACTTTCGCTGTTGAGGAGAGGTTTAAATACTACCTAGGTCGTGCCTATAAAAGGGCCTGGTATCTCGTGCTCCCCTGGTACGCTTTTGACCCGCTGCCGCTGCTGCCACCTACACATTACTCTGTCCCGGATTTGCTGCTGCCAATACCGCAATTCTCAACTACATTCCCATTTGCTCCAGCTCCTAGCCTGTTTTCTTGTCTCCCTCCTCCCTGATACTCCTCCTTTGCCGTCTCTTCTTTTTGAACTTTTTTACATCATCTGTTACTCCTTTTTCTTCATTGTATTTCATCTCTGTACATTAGCTTCTGTTTGCTGTTTTAGTTTTTACGGCTCTCAATTTGGCTGTCATCAGTTCTAGTAGTTTTGTGCTTTCCCTTTGTATGTACGAGAACACACGTAACGTGTTGCGCACATGCAGCTAATTTCACCGCCTGCATGCTTGTCTGCTAACAACATTCATCATTACGTATTTACCAGCTCAAGAGGCTTCGACATCCTGTCGGGGCCGTTGCTACGCTAGTCTTCGCGAAATAATGTATTTGTATCCTGGCTCACGTCCGTTGAGATAGCCCACACCAACTTGATAAATAATATATTTAACAAGGGACAAAAGAAAGAAAGGTATCGTGGACTAGATACCAGGCAGTCCACGTCACAGGAGATCACCGATCAAGGTGGGGGTGGTGTTCACGGAATTTTTTCTGTCCCTGCGTCCCATAGATAGCGCCCAGGTCCTTAGGTCTTGGGATGTGCTCGTGTGCAAATACCCGTCTATCAGAAAAAAACGCAAAAACCATTCGCCCTTTGCCAACCCAGCCCCCAGCCTCTTGATCCCCACTACGGGCCTCATGATCCAATCCAGCACCACGAATAAAGAAAAGATCTCTGGGATGGGAGGGGAAAGAGCAACCCAACTCTCTGAAATGGAGATTTCCTCCCTCGTATTCTCCAAATACGGCTATTGCATCAAAGCCACACCAGGCAGATCTCCGATCCTTGTGGCGCCGAATATCCGCATTGAAATGGACCGTCTGGCCGAAGAAATGGGACTTGATTTCAGATAGGAAACCCTCGTGATCCCGGTGCTTCCTGATCTGTTCCCATACTTGATCGCTCTGTTTTGCCAATGACGGCGCAATCCTCTCAGTGTACATGTTGAGGATGTGGTAGAGTGGCTCGCATTTCTTTTGGAAGGGGTGATTATGTTCTTTCTCCTTTGAATCGGTGGAGATTTGAGGCGATATTTCCTATGGGAATATATTTAATTTAAATAATCAAGAAAACAATCAAAACTCACGTAGTGACCCTGTTGGTGCCAGTAACCATAATGGACTTGGCCTTTCTGGAATAGATCCAATGATGGAACAAAGTGGTTCCGGGATTTCTTCTTGTCGAATTTAAAATTTCGATTGAACTCGCGACCAGCATTCAAAATTTCCTCCTTGGAAATAATCAGGTGAGTTTTGCAGCCGAGGATATGAAAACATACATGAATTGGGCTAAAAACATTTGGGATCCGTATAGCCAGCAGGTTCCCTGACCGATCCTCGATGGCTGCACCAGCCTCACTCTCAAGTAGGGTCCGGGCATGATTCGAGGAGAGAGGAGGGAGCTCGAGGTCCTTTGGATGTAACTGGCTCTTTGCAGGCGGAACAGCCCCATCATTGTGGCTTGCTATGTCAGCATAATCGAAGTCGAGTTTTACTATTTTGGGTTGCATTGAGAGAGAGGGTAAGGAATGGTATTAGGAACATACTTGTGTTCGTCATGGCATTACAAATATTGATATCTACTTTGCTTTCTGCCACCTCCACAATATGCCGGATCCGAGAGTCATCGATACCCTTTAGGCACTCCTTGTGTGCTCTCTGGGACTCAAGTCTAAAATAAAGGTAGGTGGTTGATATCAACAAGGGATGAGATAACTCAACTCGGGATTTACGATGAACCAGACTGGTGTGATATTGGCCTCTCGATATTGGTCACGCTTCTGCTTCTTCTGCTTCTTCGTCTGTCGCTTTTCCTTGTGTGCTTTCATGGTTGTTGGTATTAAAACTGTGTTGATAAAATGTCTATGTATGCATGGAGAACTGAAAAAAAAAAAAAAGGGAAACAATTCAAAAGAGTATTGAATGGCTATAGACATAAGTCATGTTATCATATAGCCTCTTAGGATATTTCCGAAAGAGATGCTTCACAGCGCTCCCCCAGCAGTTGGCTCTCAAACTATGTATGTGCACTGCCCCAGTCGAATTATGGCAAACATTCAAGCTGCCTTGATGCTATACCGTTGGACGTGGACGTTATTTAACACAAGACTGATAAAGTAAAACGTATAAGAGGAAATGGAGTTTATCGCTCAGTCCCATTGTACGTGAACTAGAATAGATTGTAGAATAATCTCCTAGCGAGTTTATCGCTGGTGTACAAGTATTTAATACATGATTTGTGCGAGATAGACAAGAGATAACGAAGTCGCCTCAGTCCCATTGTACGTGAACTGAGGGAAGGTTGGGTTGTCCAAAAATTGGGTTTTTATAGTCAGGCGCCATGAATGTGCACTGACTTTGGCACCGATGTGACCACAAAGGTGAAAATCTGAGACACCACATCAACAAACATGAAAGCGTACACCATAATACCGAGAATTCTAACAAAATGTTTCCCTTCCAAATCCGCACTGGCAACCTACCTGGAAAACTGGATCTCTTTCATGAGCTACGATAGCGAGTCGCCAAACTAACCACAAAATTTCTTGTTGGTTGTGGATGATAAGTGTAAGTGCCTTGCAATATACGACGTTCGCTTGCTTACTTATCGTGTCAAACGAGAGAGAAGGTGAGCGGGCCACAGAACTATGGTGGAACACGAGCAAGATGGGATCACAGTGGCAAGGCCCCGTGACTGTGAAAATATTCTGGGCGAGTTGCTCGCCCAGAGTGTTCCCACACTTGTGGCTGTGATAGTTTCTGGGCGAGTTGCTTGCCCAGAATGTTCCCACACTCGAACAATCACCATGTTTTCGACTGGGAGGTCCCTCCCGCACTTCAAAAAGAAGTCTAGCACCCCAGCTCCTGCCACCAAACATTTATCCTTGAGTGTTATGGCCCCATGGGTCTCTCTACCGGGTGATGATGTGCCTTTGCCTCTATTGCTCCTCGACGCTTGGGTGGCCCAGTGCCAAATCAGTTTGAAAGGCGCTTGGTTTTTCCCTCAGGTATGCATGCAATTGAATTCAAGGTTATATTTTTCCATGATTTCCAATTTTTTTTTAGGCACAAGATTTGATGGTCTGCGAAATCATTGTGCCATTGGATCGTCGGTGGCAGGACCAACTACTTGGAGTGTTTCGGTGTCGATTTCCGGAGGGAAATCTTGGTGATAAGGCAGGTTGGACAGTCTCTGTCTGTGAGCATGGAAGCCAGAGCGCTCTAGAGCTAGCAGGTACGCATCGTGCAGTATTAACATGATCGCGTCTTCATTCCCGCTCACGTTGTGACTAGGCTACATCGATCTATTTCGTGTTTATACTAAATTCACGATTCAAGAGGGCCGCATTAAGTATGTGGACACGACTGTCATATCCGTACATACCCGACCCCGACCCCGACCCGACTTCCGGACCTCCACCCTCTTCACCTCCGGAGTCATAACCTACCGCTGCCGTTCCGATACTCACCCTCGGTCCTGGCAACACACCTCCTCCTTACATCTCCGACCCTATCTCCGTCCGCTCCGATACTCACCTTCAGACCTGACTACTCTTCTTTCCGCCACTCCTTCTCCCTTACCTTTCCCCTCTCTCCTCCCTCTGCTACTCCTCCGCCACCCTTCCGCCAAGTTACGACCTTCCACCGTTGTTCCGTACTTCGCACTCGGACACCGCTCGTACCTTACTCCGAGCCTCCGTCATAGTCCCTACCTCGGACTTTGACTCCACCTTGGTCTTAGTCCATTGCATTGGTGACCTCATACTACGTAAACACCATTGCCAATATCCCTCGGACTTTCAACCCCGCCTCCGTAACCTCCGTAAGCTCCGCAACCCCCGAGCTTCACGGATCACCTTCGGCCCTCTCGCCGCTTGTAATGTATTTCTCGCGTTTTCCCCTCATCCCTATTTGGACTACTGCTTCTTTCTATTCTAGCCAGTTAGTCATCATCCCCACTTCCCCTCATCCTCCTGCCCCTCTGGGCCTCGCCCTCCCTACCTCCTTTCGGATGTATCACAGGTCCTGCCTTATGACCTTCGGTACCTCTCCGCTTCTTCTACCCTTTGTTCCTGTTCGGACGTCTTCGTTCCGATTCGGTTACCCTTTGTCCTCCTTGTGCTTTTGCCCCTTCCATTATATATATCGGCACTTGTACATACTCGTTTTGGTTTAGTCCGAAATCGACCTGAAATGCCCCCAAGAGACTTTTTGCTCACCTACTGTGAAATTAAGGACCAAATGGACAAACAGCAATGGCACAGCGCTCCGCTTGAGTCGCTGAGGCCAAGGTCCCTCCACGCTAAGTCTCCGATTCCACTCCGGAGTCATCTGTTTCCGCCCGTTCTAACAATGATGAAAGATATCGATGCACAAGCTTTACCCTCTCGGTCGATCTCATTTTTGAACGTTCCACCCACCCAGCCCAATACCTCCCACGACGCTACGAACCCACCTTTGGTGGAGCTGGAAGATTTGAGTGCATGGGCGGAATGTGGGATTATATCTCAACTATCGCATAATGATGCCATCCATGTATTTTGTCCTCCCAAAGTCACCGATGAACTTCATCTTTCAACGAACCCGTACAATATTTTTCACATTTAGCTTGTATTTATTTTGCATAGACAATCTATAATCGTCACGGTTGTGGAACACTTTGGATTGTCAATTAAATCGCCTGATTTGTCTCTCATCACCTGACATTCACATGTAGATTGTTTGATTCGTCATGATTCCCATTCCCCAGTACTCTCACCACCTCACATTAACGTGTCCGTGATGCCACCCATTCGCTGTGCCTTGCCATCTCCGGAACGCCGCGGACAGTGCCTCGCACCTGCTCACTCCACTGATGCGAGACATGAGCGACTTGGCCATCCACGGCGTCGCCCAATCCTTTCTCCCTGATTACGATCACATTTACTTTGTACGGCCTTCATTTTTTTTGGCGCGCGTACAGTGTGTCTGGAAAGCGGGGAAGTTCTAGTGACTTGCTGCTATTACGGAGATACTGAACGTGCCACGCATTGCAACCATCGGCACTGTGTTTTCACGTGTGTCGTTCACCTCCTCTTCGTCACTTGGGCAAACTCCCTCACTCGGATCAATCCCATTGAAAATGATGACGACGTTCTAATCTCTTGCCACTCACATCTGCAATTGGCCATGTCCCTCCATCCAGAAGCCATCCGCTCCAGGCTTCACCGTTCTCAGAGTCAACGTTAAGTAGGTACTGTCATATCCATTCCCGGCCATCGACTTCCGGTCCCTCCAATCCCTCCGTTCCAACTCCGCTCCTCCCTCACTAACCTCGGAGCCCCCGTTATTCCGCAATCCTCTCGGTACCCCTCGATGGTCACCACCCCCTCATTTCAATTTATTACCTACGCCTCCCTAAGTACGGAGCCCCGAAGACTTCCGGACAGCTCCGACGTCCGCTAGCGCACCCCCGCCTCCGCTGGGCAATACACTCGCCTGCCCTGCAGAGTCCACCTTCGGGCCTATCCCTCCTTTCCGTTTCTGGGTTATCGCCTGCCTTTCCGCTAACCCCACGAACCGACTCGTCGGTAATATTCAGTCGGCTAATGGTTAAACCCCGTTAGCTCCGCTCCATTCGGCTCCACCAATTGCGGAACCGTCTCCGCAGTAACCATATATATATCCCACTTGTACATAGGTTACGCGCCAGTAGAAAAATCAACTAGAGTTACCCCCCTAGGTTCTAATTGCCAGTCAGTAAGTTAGGGCACGGACGTGTCACTAGGCACAGCGCTCTTGGCAGAAGTCGCTGAGGCCGAAGCCCTCCGTTACGGAGACATTCCTTCGTCTCGACCCTGGTCTCTGACAGGTACGACCCATCCGCAACAACCCACTGTTAAACCCTTTGTGTGCAACCAAGTGCTACAATATCGGACGATCAACTTTGGCCCTCCTATCGCCTTTTCCCGATCGATTTGATTGGCAACAGAATCTGTGTACATGGTGTGGGGCTCTCCTTCTGGAAAGCGAATCTATCAAATGGTGTTGTTCCGAACTACTATCCCCTCTTCCTCAATTACCTCCTATGTTCCTCACAACGTGTCTTGGGCGAATTCCAATACCCTGGCTACGTCAAACTGAATGGCCAAGCATTTTGGGTCCGATGATGTCCCACGGGGTGGCGAAGCCACATTTCCATGACGCGCTTTTCCCACGAAAAAAAAATACAAACCCCCAAACACCTTGCAAGCTCGGCCAATTCTACCGTAAATCGTCCCGATGTCATGAAATGCAGTGTCAACCCTGGGTTCGGCTCGTGATGCAGCATTCTCGCAAACTGCAGAGCCTGCTGCTCCAGCTGGACGCTCGGTAGGCCCCAATGCACTGGCGGAAACGGTATGAACAAGGATCAAAGATCAGCGCTGTCGAACGTCGACTGAATTACTGTAGGGGCTTGACACTCTGCTAACCTGGACCACGTCTGGGACCTTCATACCATATAACCACGCGGGACCTTCCAGCGCCCTGCGTCAGACTGTGCAAGAGTGGATGGCTCGCACGCATGCAGGTATGTTTCTTCGACCCTGCTGGCGCAATTCGTTTCTCATGACTATTAGGGATCCGGGTAGCAAAACCTCCCAAGGACTTTGTCATCCACTCATGGATACTGCATTACGCAAACACTCTGAGAAGCTTCAATTTTCTTGGAAATCCCGTCGGAGAACCTGTTTACTCCTTCACCCCTTATCACCTCCTTACCCCTGCCGAACGTAGAAAATTACACAATGCTCCCCAATACCCAAGAACTTCACCCATTCCCTCCCTCTACTCATCATCAATCTCGCGCATGCCTCTCACGTTCTCACAAAATGCACCATATCGTCCATTCATTCGTCACACTTCCCTCGACCCCCCTCTTCCTGATTCCTCAGTCATTGAGGACTGTCGTGGGGGAAAGTGTCTTAAAATTCAGTATATCCACCGTGTTGAGACGTTCGTGCAGTCTCAATTTGACCTCTTCTCGCGGTGGGATGCGATCCAGAGCGATTTTCTCCTAGTCGAACAATGTGTGCCGATGCCTCGAACGCGAGATGGGTTAACTCAAGCTTCTTTTGAGTGGAAGGACAAGCTAAGATGTTGGGGGAGGAACCTTGAGGATCTGATCGACACTGTGGATCAAGTATTTACGTTCGCTTACAAATTGGGTGGTGTTGGTCGATGGTACTGTCATCGTCACATCGAGCAGCTTCTTCGTGGTCACGATGGTAATTATTTTTTGGGCGTGGACAATGAGCTGGTGGGTGCTGTGTTTGAGCTCCCTTTCCTGGACAACTGCCCATCGCTGGGTTCAACAATGGCAAGGCTATCCCGTCACGGCGTTCCTGTCTTTGGGGTTCAAGTCGTTGGGAGTGGGGCCAGGCGGCTGGTCGGATTCGGATGTTAACAGTCATAAGATGGCAGTTCAGTCCGCATCGCTTCCATCTAAGCAGTCGAGGGACATTGTTTTCAAGCAGCTCGAGTTCATACCCGTTCGCCCAACACCCTGGATCATCAAGCCAGCCCATGGCTATCCAGGTTCGCCTGACCTCTCCACTCCAGTGGAATTGGCCCTCGCAGACGCGCTCTATCCTCCACACAACCCGCTCTACACAGAGGAGGAACTGTGTCGGAAAATCAAGTCTTTTTTTGGCCATGGCCTCTTTCCTGTTGTGCCTCCGGCCCGTCTTTCACCCCGTCTTTCACCCTGTCCATCATCTTCGGTACTTGGCCGTAGAGTAGTGTCTACCACCTGGCATGATGGAGCCGGGAGCTCCAGTGATGACGAATTCCGTCCTCACTTTGAGCCTCCCCATCAAGAAAATGATGAGGACTTGTCCGAGTATGATGAAAGGGTTGAATCGGCAGCTCGAAAATTTTCCAGTGACCGACAGAGCGTGCGTGCCGCTGGTCAGCTCTTGCAAGATGTGTGGGATGGCGACTCACATGCCACTGCCAGATGTCAAGAGATCTGGGAACGGGGACATGGGAAAAAGAAGAGGCAACTGTCCGCCCATGACTACCACATCGTCAGTAATTGGCACAAGTACAGGCCTGATCGGCAATCTGCCAGATGCCCTCGAAAGAGGCTAAGATTGCAGAGTGATCCTGACGCGATGGACATCGATACAACTGATCCCATTGCTTCAAGCCATCATGTACTCGCTGCTGGTGTCCCCATCACAACTCCTCCATCCCGTTCCCCCCTTGCGTCCAGGTCATTTCCTCTCCCCGATCGTTCCTCTCCTGGTGCCACGAGTATCGAGACTTCGCGTTCCTTAGGGGCCACGAGCCATGTTAATCCTCCCCCATCTTTGGCACCAACAGTCCCCCTCACAACTCCATCCCATTCCCTCCTTACGTCTCCTCTCCCCGATCGTTCTTCTCTCGGTGCCGTGGGTATCAAGACTCTAGGGGTAGGGGCCACTGTCATATCCATACAATCCCGACCTCCGCTCTGGGCTCCCGGAACTCCAAACTCCGACTTCCGGAGCCCTACTTCCCTTCCGTCACCTTCTCCATGCCGACTCCCAAGAGGTTATCCCACCTCCGGCTCGGACACCACCTTCGGTCCGACTCTGGAACATTCCGGGTCCGACCCCAACCTCGACACCTTCCAGATGAGTACGCAAAACCTATGCTCCCGACTCCGGACCTCCGCTCCGGTATCCCGTTCACGTCTCGTCTCCGGAACCTCCGGTCTTAG